TATCACACCTCCTAAAAGAGTTAATTCAATCTTAGAAATTAATATAGAAATTAACTACAACTAATACATTATATTATGTTTTTAATAATTATACTCATCTGATTACTCTGTCATTTCCTTTTGTTCATGGCACATACACACCTCAGAGTTTATAGATAATTTTTTATCTAACTTTTTACTATATGATACTTTGTTATACGTGATTTAACTATCAGTAAAATTCGATTATCTTATTAAATTCGATAACTCAATAGCAAAAACATCCAAAATTATGTAGTACCTCAAAGCAAATCCATTATTCTTTCTTGGTCCCTTAACGTCGTGTTTGATTGGAAATTATAATTAGAAATACAATAAAAAATATATTTTTAGGCCTCCAAAATATAAAAGCACAATTTCAAACATCTAATTTTCTAAAATACCAACCAAAACATATGTTATATTAAACTTAACTAACAAAGAAACACCACATTTATATTTTATCATAAATACAATTTCATTGAATATTAACTTGCATATGTCCACATTAATGTGTTATGTGTTAAGGAATGAAAAGTGGTGTGTTATGTTATCTCTTTTATATATCTTTTAGTTTGATCCTAATTATTAGTGAAGGTAAGGAGAGTATATAGAAGCATATGTGGAGGCACACATAGGTGTATAATATAACTTTATTGTGAAAAATAGCAAGTATAGATGTTGAGTATTGGGTATTAATAAAAAGAGATAAAAGCTGGATAATTGGCATGGTGTGGGCATGAAAGAGGCCTTCTTTTACTTTAGCTATCATATTCATCATCCTGTTCCAAGAGTTAGTAAATGAGTGACATCATGGCTTAAGCAATTTGATTAAGCGGGACCACCATCACCTGAAGCTACGGAAAAACAAGTTTTTATGACTCTCTTTCAGTGAAAGGTGCACATTTGATGAGCATTCAATGATCTAGAAAAATACAATTCCTATGCCCCAATTATGCATCTAAATTCTTTTTATTTCAAAGAAAACAAGAAAAAGAAAAACAAAGCTGGAGTTTACACTTTAGAGGGAGTTGTGAATAAGTTAAGTAAAGTTGGGGAACATTTTGGGAGAAAAAAATGGGGTTATGAGCCAGTCATCAAAAGAAACAAGCTAATCTACTCTAGGAAAAGTAGAAGGAGGTGAGTTAGATGCACATATCTACCCACCCCTTTCACACCCTAATAATGTGCTCTTACATGGCAGCCACCATGCATCCCTTACAAAAAATAAAAACACAACTTGCATGTAAATCACTTTAGATGTTCCTATAAAGTGAAATAAACGCTTTTAATATTTTTTTAGCCTAGGGATTGTGGCGCATTATGAATGAATATTTCTATCACTAAATATCCTTTTGTTGTGACACTATACTAACAATTAAGAAATACTTTTATAATTAGTTAAGATGATCGAATTTCTCTTACCAAAGTTTTCATGAAGTCCTGCTCTGATAAATAGTCTTTTTTTTTTTTTTTTTGTGGACGATGATAATTTTTTAATCTTCCCGTGAATTTCTATGTTCTCCCTTCGTTTTCAAATATGAAAATTTTAAAACGGGGACGATGATTGAAGAGTAAATTAATGGATGACGTGAATCATGATGTAAAACGAGAAAGAACCAGAGATAGAAACTACAATATACTTTGAAACAAGTTAGTTCTTGTTTACATGAAGGAAGATAGAGATATATTTGACTCCATCCAATCTATTTTCCTGCGAGGAATTCATACTCCATAACAAGACACAAAGAAGCTTGTTGAATTGGCAGTGCATTAGCCACTTTCCATTTAGAAGCTGTTTTAATTTTTAAGACTAAATTAGTTAACATCAGTGACGATAGTTGAAATTAATGAAATAGGAGATGAAGGCTTTAATCACACGGAAGAAACTTTAGCAAAGACTAAAGAGGCTCACCTAATTCAAGATAATTGCCTTTTTCTATTATTGATGTGGGGAATCCTTTGAGTAAGCTTTGTCTCGTATTAACTTAATCAGTGAGACGAAAAATGTGAACTGACATGTGATGTAACCCTAGTACCGGGGAAGTTTTTAGTTAGGATTCGCCTCAGTAGCAACATGATTTTCCTGCATCATCCTATTTAATTGTGTTTCATTTTCTCCTCTCTTTCGACGCGTAACTTCAATTTTTTTCACCAATTCACTTCACTTCACAAGTTATGGTTATTACCTCCTTAGTCAAGTCAAACCCATCTAAACCATGCTGATTAGAAAATAACATTTTTAATTTTTTTTTTTGGTACTGGAAAAACAAACTGTGTTGTTACACTATGATCACTTTTGATTTAATAATATATAATTTATCTGTAAAATGTATTTTTTGTTTAAACAAGGTCACAGATGTTGGAGAATGTTCTAGGGTAGAGTGGTACGTTGGTAGCGATGCGTTGGACGGTTGTGGGTTCATTACCTGGAAGATTCTTTGCCGCGTGTCACACTCTTTCAACCACAACCACAGCTTCATCATCAAACTTTTGCCCCGTACACGTCAAGCCACGGGTCATGCACCACCACCCTTCTCAAACTTCAAAATCCATCATCTTCAATCCCACAAACAATTTCTGTAATTAAAAAATAGAAGCACCATCCACGTGTCACAAAGTGACCATGAAAGAATCTACACATGTATCACCTCCTGGGGTGTGCCGGATTACCTACAACAAAAGTTACTTTCTTCCTCACACTTTTCTTTCTTCTTTTGGACTCGTTGTTATCCCCTTGATCATCATTTTCTGTGAATCAAACAGATTCCCTCACATTTCCTTCCTTTAATCATTCTAATTATTCACCCAAGCATGCACATTATTATGAGCCGTAATTGTAATAGTTTCTAATTATTCACTTTAAAAACGGTTCCAATTGTTGTAAGAAACTGGTTGCTTTTGAAGCTTTATTATTATTTTTTATCGCGTTTTATTAACCTAATTTATTGAAAAGAGATGAAAAATAAAGATGGAATGTCAACATTGGAGGTAGGGCATAGTGTGATACGTGGCAGAAGAATTTCCGTGTAAATGGTAGTAATTGGAAAAGAAAATAAGAAAAAGTGAAACACGGAAGTAGTAAAAAGTAACGTGTTGAACAGGCATTTCTCCACGTTAAACGTGTGACGGTAGCACGCACGTGAGACGAAAAAGCATAGCAAAGTCGGTCTAAAGCAATAAAGTTAACAACCCCCTTAATCAAATTTAATTAATAAAACATTAGACGGTAAAACATGTACAAGAAAAAGAAAAAACGAACCTATGACAAGACACTTAACGGCCTCACCTGTTGGGGGTATTTTGGGAAATGACTTTTTCTTTTTCATATATACATATACAAATGGGATCTAGGACAGAAATATCGTATGACTAATTATATATGTACCATAATAATAAATATTATAATCTATTAGACAGCCACTTTAATTTCAAAATAAAGATATTTCATACATATATTAGTTTTTTTTATAATTCTTTTAGACAGTAGTCAACAAACTCTTAATATTAGTTAAAATTACTGAACATGAAGTTAAAAGGATTTTGTGAAAGAAAAGAAAAGCGCAACAGTCCATTTAAACTAGTTGAGATCAACGTTTTGTAGCTATTATTACTAATTTTTATGAAATGATCTCAGTGAGAATCTAAAATCTTACACTCCAAGAAACATTAACTAAAAAATCAAAAGTCAATAACAATTTCCTTAAAATCTTAGGCATTCTCCATGAGGAAACATTTCACGTTACGCCAATAAAACTGGGCTCTGACAGCGATTAGGTTCTTTCTCTTTGAATGGGGTGACAAAAATTTTCCCAGATAAGGAAGTTCAGCATAAATGCATACGTAGTTCAGTCAGAGTCGGATCCAAATCCGTGAGGTAAAAACACGTTTAGAATGACTCCACTAATAACTTTAACTTTATCACACTCATGATTAGACCCATCAACAAGTTGCCCAGTCAAGAAAGTTCCCAATAACTCACACTAACCTCTTCTGTTTACGACAAACCCATCTATGCTTTAGCTAATAATAATGCGTTAAATTTACACGCCCACTAAAGAAAAAGAAAAATTGCATCAAACACTCCAAGCCCTTAGATTTCAGCATTCGGGAATCTACCCCATAATTGGGGGAACATCAAAAGATCACAGCCGTCAACGCGCTCAATATCATCCGTCGGATCAAAACGTAGGGAACCGCCCATTGAATAATCGTTTTTCTTTTTAATAGAGGCGGCTGACCAATTCTCTATTTTCGAGAACCAATACGACTTCGCTTTCACAAACACCAATCGACCTTTGACACGTGTACACGCTGACTAACCCGCCCATATAAGCCGGCTGCGGTGGACCCCACCATATTGGAAGCTTATATTACCTTTGCCACCACCTGCTTTCACCGCCACTAGGCAAAGCTTATATTATATCTTTGGCAAAATTCGATTTCACAATAGACGATATAAAAAATAAAAATAATAATAAAAATTGCAATAATAATAATATATTTTTATTTTGCTGTTCTTATATAATATTGACATACCACCTATTTTCCAAGAAGTACATTGTCATCATTTCAGCTGTCCTCATCCCCAACTCACTTAGCCACTATGTACATCCTCTACCCCAAAACTTAGGTATAATTACCTTAGAAACCAAACCTATAAGTCCTTATCATTAACTTAGCTAGGTCGAAAAGAGCCTCGCTTATTATTTTGCTACACGCCATTGTTTTGATCACTGCACCATCGACTATTTCACAGGTGTCTTATTTCTACTACTTCTTCTTCAACCTTTTCCAGTTCTATTGGACTTCATATATACAAGACGCTAGCAACCGCTACAGAAAACATTAAACAAGGGACGGTGACAGTTCCGGTACTGGCCTTGAAAAGCTCGAGTATTGGAACGGTGAAACACTTGCATTAGCATTATATTTTATATATCTAAGGGCATTATAGCAAATAACCTGAAAACACCCACTACCTAATATTCTATGATTAGTCCCCCCATTGGGGCTCGGTGTGGTATTCCCTTTCTTCTCTTGGCTGTTCTGTAATTAACCGAAGTTGGAGGTGGTGTGGATGGTGTGAAGCTCTGAACTTTGCAGTTTTTCTGCCGGCCAGGGACGCTGTTGCTACTGTATGAATCCTCAGAATCTGATGACATTGCCGTTGCCTGCTTCTTCTTCTGGGGGTTCTTAGATGTTCCAACAATCTGCAATCCATGTTCAGATTGATTAATGAACAAAAAATAAATACACACCATGAAACTTAAGGTTGTTGAGGACATTGGAGTTAGACTAATTAAAGGTTAAAAAAGTCAACATTCAAATCCCAAGATTTCAAACGCGGGTGGTTGTTTAATGCTCTGAGGAAATTAAGGCAAAAGAATAAATTGAAGGATCCAAGAGTCCCGTGAATCAAAGGGTACCCATTTTCATGGCTGTGATAAAAAGTCAACTCATTTCAACTGAAAAGTGTTGTATGTTCGCTTGAAAAGAAAGCAAAGCAAAGTCCCAATTTTCCAAGTTTTTTTTTTTTTTTTTTTATCAAAATTCCTTAGTCAGAAGCTTGAGCAAGGAATGAAGGACATTGGTGGTAAAATGAATACCTTGCACCCAAGAGAACAGAAGCGGTAAGAATCTAGAAGGCTACGCTCGCAGACTTCACAAGTGTTTGTGACCCCTTTCCCTGGCCTTGGTTGAGGCCTCTCGTTCAAAAACACCACCCTTGCGCTGTTGATAATGTAGGTTTGGACACCAGTGATATCCAACACCTTCTGAATCTCAGAAACCCTGATCACATCATGGTATGAGGACCTCCTAATCTGTCAACAATTAACCAAAAAAAAACATTAGAAGAGAATGGTTAGTCGTGAGATACAATACACGCGTTGAGGATAACTCAAAATCACCAAAAGCTGACATTTTTTGCCCCCATTGTGTGGTTACTTTCACACCATTCTAGGAGTTGGTAAATACAGGAAACGGTTGGAAGAGGGACAATTGGGCACAGAAAATGAAAATAGAAATCAATTAATGACAGTTCAATTTTGTGCAAGGAAGGAAAGGTGAGACTTTAAGCCAAAAATCAAGGAAAAAAAAATGGAAAAGAATCTAAGTATCCCCATAAAAGGAAAAAAGGGATGATTTTGATAAACAATGACTGTGTGAGACCTGAACCAAAATGTGTCAGATGCAAAGTTTTTGTGCAAAACTTTAAAAAAACTGATGAATGATGTGACAAACCTGGATTGCACGGTGATCCTTGTGGTGGGCGAGGCAGAGAGAGCAGAGCGGCCCGTTCATACAGTCCAAGCAATACATGTTGCATTCACTCTTGTGAGAATCAACATGTAACTTGCATTGAACAAAGAAGCTCTCTTTGAGCAGTGGCTTCAACCATGGTGGCCACCTATTGTCCTCATCATCAGGACCTCCAGCACCCTGTTCAAAATAATCAAAACCAAAAGCTTTACTTTAATAACCCCCGAAAAAGAACAAAACAAAATACAACAGAATCCCAATGCCTCTACACGCCAAGAAAAAATAAATACAAGACATACATTAGCTAGACCCACGAAGAGGAAGTTGAATGAAAGAATCTAGCATGCTTGCTTACCATGATTCTCCTGTTCTTGGGCTTGATTTCTCTGACAGTGGTGTCATGGTTTTCAATAGCCATGTTGGTTGGAGGGAGAGTTTCTTTGGAGTGAATGTGATTTGTGTTTTTAAGAATGAGAGGAGAGAAACAGTGATGAAGAGTTATGTTTTGAAGTTTGAGAAGTGGAGAAGAGTGGGGGCTATGAGGGAGGGAATGGGTTCTTGTAGGACTTGGAAGCGGTAGATGGCGTTTTAGAGAGAGAAAAAATGAGTGAGGGTAGGGGTCGTTCTTATCCGCACAAAGTCTTCAGCCAAACCTAGCTCCGAACCCGAACCAACAAGATGCGTTGGGCGTAAGGAACCCACCTCCTTCTTTCCTTTTTAATCTTCATTAAATATTAACATTTCATTTTCACAACTCTCTCTCTCTCATCTTATCATTTTATTTAATCTCTCTCCCACCTTCATTTATTTCGCGATCAAAACATTTTTTTTTTCACTTTGGCACGCTTATTTCGTCCTCTTGTATTATTAATAAACTAATTTAGCAAAGTTCTTAATAAAAATGGTAAAACATTTGATATTTTTTTAGGGCAGCTCAGGTACTTGTCCTAATCCAACTTGTATTGGCCATTAATATGAAATATCTTGCAATTGTTGACCAGAAAATGTACTAGCTATATTGGGTCTTGTCTTGTCCCTACTATGTGTATACACGCTAATAGCCTTAGCTATTGCCATAACAATTCTTCGTTTGTCGATGTAAAATGCTAATAAATTAATCAGGGCCTCAACCAACATAGCTTTGTTTGGAAAGAGGATGTTTCATTAAAATATATACATTGTACATATAAATAGGATAAGAAGTTATGTGGTGTTTCAAGCAACTCATGAATTTATATGCAAAAACCTATTAATAATAATAATAAATAGTAGGAACTGAAGTGTAAGCATCAGGTCGCCCCTAATCATGTGGGTTAGGTTTTGGTTGGCCATCCTAATTGAGTTTATAATAGTTCCATTCTACACTTTCTAGATACAATTGTTGTTTCAACAAATAAAATGGAAATGTTTTGTCCCGTTTTTTAGGTTTAGAGAGTTTTCCTCTTAATTAATGCTTTTCATTATGCCGTCTATAATGCTCATGAGCCAAATATATATATATCGTGTTTGGATATATCATATATGTAAAGTTAGGTTTTATATTAAAACATTGTTTCTAATACAATAATGTTAGTTCTATTCAAATCAATTTGTTTAACATCATTTCTACCGAAAGTTTAACTTATAATAAATGTTCCAATGCTACATAAACTTAGTTTAGATGGTTTAACTGAAATGGTGAGGATTAGTTACATAATCTATGTACTCTTTCTTAAACAGATAGACCAATATCACGAAAATGGTTTACTCCACGTTAATTAATAACGTGTATAAGGTAGTAAATGTAGACTCTTCCCTCTGCAACTGATCCTATCCCTAGCTAGTAGATATACTTGAATTAGTAACAATCATTGGCTTGATTATGATGGTAATCTGAAAACAGTGATTCGGATACCATGCCATGGTTTGTGACAATGATGAGTAGCAGAGAAGTAGGATGTGCTGAGGTAATTGTGACTAATTTTTCCAAGAGAAATTGAGTTGAAAGCGGCATAAAAGTTTGGTTTATAGAGAAGTGTTCCTTTAATTATATATATAAAATGGTTGATATTTTGGCCCTGTACAAAATGCAGAAAATGACATGGATTATACACCACAGTTAAAAGGAAATCTCAGAAAATATTTGGATAAAAAGGTCTTATCATATTATCAAATTTATTTTCGTAGATCAGATAAAAGTCCACAAAGGCATAAAGAATTTCCCATTAACGATCAATGACTGAATGGAAGACCATAAGTCATTACTAATGGGGGCTGCCGCCACTACTGTACCATCAAAATTCAGCAATATCCTTTTTTTTCTTTTTTTTTATGAAAGTTTTGAGTATTTCAACGCTATCACATTGCAAATCTCAGTATGTCTATTTTTATACCATGTATCATCATATCATTTGTGAAAAAATAAAAGTAGCTTGATCAAAAGACAAATTGAACATTATTTATACAGGATATAGTTTAAAGATTCAGACTGTGCTTTTTATGTTTAACTTCAACTAATGGGGATTTGATTTTCAATAAATCTGAATATCCGTAATTATTTATTTTTACGTGATACATTACTACAAAATATACTTTTTACGTTGTCATTTAACGTCGGTTATAGCTGAGACGACGTAGAAAGTACTTTCCACGTCGGTTCCCAGATGAACTGACGTTGAAATTGAATATTAAACACATTCTACGTCGGTTCTTAGTCAACCAACGTAGAAAGTACTTTCTACGTCGGTTCCCATATGAGCCGACTACCCAAGATCTTTAGAGTTAGAAGTCGATACTCCAACCACTAAACTACTAGAATTTTTTGATAATAACTTACAAATAAATTATATTTATATACAAATAAATATATATCCATGTAAATATATATTTATTTGTATATATTTTCTAGAAAGTATTTTTATTTTTTTCATCCAAAAATTCTCTTAAGTTAATGAATTGTCATCGATAGCATTTGAACTCGATATTTTAGGATTGAAAGTTAATATCTCAACCACTAAACTACTATAATTTTTTGATAATAACTTACAAATAAATTATATTGGTATTTTTCGATCGAGGGTGAAAGTGTGATTGACTCTTGCTTGAGTGAAAATATGTTAAAGCTCACTGAAATTCACTCACTCAAGTTTCGCTTGAGCGAAAATTGGTATTTTTCGCTTGAGAGCAAATAATGAGTTTCTCAAATTTATTTTATATCATTATATAAATAAAATTATAAAGATTATATTCTGTCATTAAATTACAAACTCATATAAAGATACCTGCTCACAAATTTAGCATCAAATTTTGAAAACCCACTCGACACACACTTTCACTTTCGAGTGTGCCCTCACATCCAACATATAAATATATAACTATATAAATATATCAAAATATATAAATATATTTGTATTTATATATTTACACGGATATATATTTATTTGTATATAAATATAATTTATTTATAAGTTATTATCGGAAAATTCAAGTAGTTTAGTGGTTGGAGTATCAGCCTCCAACTCTAAAGTACTTGTGTTCGAATCCTGCCAATGACAATTCTCTTAAAAAATTAAAAAACTTCTAAAAAATATAATATATAGAGATGGAGGTCCTAATAAAAATATAATATAAAGAGAGGGAGACTTCTAGATAAATAAAAGGGGGTAAAGGAGTTGTAAATAAATAAAAATTATTAATTTAGTAGTGATAGTTCATTTATAGATCAATAATCTAACTCTTAAATCAACTTTTAAATAAGAAAGTAAGATTTTATTTATAAATTATCCTTTATCTCATGATTAAAAGAAGAATAAGTATATAAATTATTTCTCACTTTAACTCCTAAGACTTACAAAAATAATATAAAATAATCATATAAGTAAAAGCAATAATTGGATTATCCAACAATGGGTGTAGCCCTTAAAAATAATAATTGGGTGTAGTTATAAACAAATTATATACCTCCACGAAAAATATTCAAGGTCAAAAGAAGTTTTAAAATAAATGAAGCATTACAGTTTATTTTTAGTTTAAGGTTAGACGTACTGTTGAAGTAAATTATAAGTAAAATGGTTAAATATTTTCACTGCTACAGATATGCCTTTCAACGTTGGTTATATAAGGCTTTCAACGTCGGTTATACAACCGACGTTGTATCAGGCGACGTTGAAAGTATACACTTTCAACGTCGGGTATAGATAACCGACGTTGAAAGTTTAGGCTTTCAACATCGGTTATTCATACCCGATGTTGAAAGTGTATACTCGTCGCTCAAGCGAGTACACTCGTCGCTCAAGCGAAATGGAACCCGAGAGTCCCCTTTGTTTGAAGCTTTCGTCGCTTAAGCGAGTACACTCGTCGCTCAAGCGAGATGGAACCCGAGAGTCCCCTTTGTTTGAAGCTTTCGTCGCTCAAGCGAGTACACTCGTCGCTCAAGCGAGTACGTGTTTACTACGTCGGTTATGGTATGAACCGACGTAGAAAGTCTTTTTTTTTTTTTAAATGGACGTTTTGTTTATACAGGGTACCCAATGTTTGTATATATACATACCTGCAAATTTGAATACAACCCAGGCAGACAATGTATAAGATATAAACAATTGAATGTGCATCCAAAAATAAAATTGTATCCAAAATTATAGTGTATCCAACTACTTATCTACCAAATACACTAACTACTAATCTAACTAATAAACTAACTAGTAAACTAACTAGTAAAGTAACTAAACTAACTACTAAACTAACTACTAAACTAAGTACTAAACTAATAACTAAACTTGCCTACTTCTAACTTTAACAAACTTATCGGCCCATGTGTTTCTAATATCGTCAATGGTCTCTATGGGCAATGCTTTCCTGTCTGAAAATACCTGTTACAAGAAAAAAGATAATTTAACAGAGTATCCAATGACACAATACTGGGTCTTTTATTGAATACTAAATTTAAGCAAACCTGATTCCATGTATCCTCAGTCTTGCTAACAACAATTAGCCACATCTAGTGCATAACATAATATCCGCACTCATAAGATCCTGGTTGTCTATTACACTACAAAAAATAATATATTAATTTGACATATAAAATGAATGATATAATACATAAATATAAAATGACTTACATTAACAAAAATCCAATCTGAGTCGTGCTTTTGCTTGTGTGTACTCCATCAATTGTATTGCAAACCTTAAATGCACTGTGCAATACAAGATATAATGAAACAATTAAGTAACAAAACAATTAATAATTATTTAAATTATTATAAGAATGTGTACCTGTTTACAATGTTTTTAAGATCTGCATCGGGTTTCTTGCCCAAGTGAGCGGAACCAAGCCACAACATTCTGCTTTGGGCAAACAACCAACAACTGCCAATGATTTCTGCTTACATTACAAAAAGTTAGGATAATACAATACACTATAAAATTTAATGCGAATAATTT